TGTGAGCACAGGCAGTTATTGTTGTGTCCATGGAGATTTATAATATAATCACTTGATATAGTAAGGAAGGTACATACTGTATTTGAAATGCAGGGACACTCTGTATCTGAATATTGCTTTATCTGCTCTGAGTATTAAGTGTACTGTAACATTGAATTGTGATAACCATACCAAGGCCAATGTAAGAGTAAAACAGCATTTTAGAAAAAGGAAAATAATATACATTTCTTAAGTGTCTTACTCTCAAGCAGTGTTAATTTCGTCAACGAAAACTATGACGACGAATGTTCGTCAACAACCTTTTTTACATGACTAAGACGAGACGATGACGAGCTAAAAATAGATTCTTGATAACGAAAACTATGACGAAATGTATATTTAGTTTTCGTTGACGAGACGAGCGGGACTAAGGTGTTAATGGTGGACTATCGGACATTCAAAATGCAGCATATTTTCCCCCAAGTTTCCATCTTGTCTGTCAAAATGCATTTTACGTTTCTAACTTGCAATATCATTATTTCCGCTCTCTTCACTCAAGAAGAGCGATCTCCCTGTGTCTCTCTGTGTGCGGGGGGCGGGGCCTAACAGACACGCTGCAGCGGACACAGAGATCTGCCGGGAACGGAGCGTTCAGAGAGTATAGAGACACATTTTGACTAAAAGTTGACTAAAATGTAATTTTTCATCGACTAAAAGTTGACTAAAACGTTTTGAGTTTTCGTCGACTAAAACTAGATTAACACGTTTTGAGTTCTCATTCATAACACTCCATTCGATGTCTCACTATGGGATGCGCCTCAACGCGTATGCGAACAGAAGCATCAATCTCATTACGCCAATCTTGACGTCTACGTCAGGGAATCCACCCACCCTATAAGTAGCTTGCGCTACGACGCANTGCCGCGCTGACCGCGCGCACTTCCTCTCCCGTTTATACCCTCATACGCATAAAGTTCTTTTCAATGCTCATACTCGCTCTTACTCTTGCCCTTTCTCTCCCTTCTCATTCCCCTCTGCCCAACTGTTACTCCTAAAGGTCCTTGGCTCTGCTCTTCATTCAGCCGTTGTCACTCTCCTCCTCGCTTTTTTTTTTTTGGTTAAAAAAGCTGGCTATACCACCAGACTTTTTTGTCCTTTCCTTTTCATTTTTGCATCTCTACTTGACGCTACAAATACTTGCAAGAAGATGAGGGGCGGGGGGTTTAAATGCTCAGGGCGATAATAGCATGTTTTTGAACTTGTAAACGGAAAGAAGACAGCAGCTCTCACTCCACTCTGGCTACTTCCACGAAAGCCGCCGCTCCCCTCCTGCCGTTGCAATTGATGAAGTAACAGGACTTATAGTTGCCTTATATAACGAGAGTTTTGTTCTCATCTTGATTGTCGAAAATAAGTCTTGGCTTTCAGAAAATATTAAAGCTTTTTCGGTAGCAAAATTCAGATGATAAATAACAGCTTTGAAGCTTGTAAGCCCCGGCATAATTACAAAGCGGAGACAAAGAGAGTAATTTAACGTCACACGGGGCAGGCATCACCAAAGCTGCCGGGTGTTTCTTGTGAGTGTTTCCCCGGGAACAAACGCAATAACACCAAACTTCAAAAATACACAACCACTACCACACACACACACAACAGCACACACGCACACAACGACACCACAGCACACACACACATACACTCGCAGCGCCCCAGACCCAGTCAATCTAACCAAACTATTTTGTCCTCTGTACTGATTTTATAATTTGCTCCGCTAATAATACATCAGATCGACCATGATTACAGAGAAGACGGAAACTTTGAGAGCTTTGTTCAAAATGATAGACTCGGTGACAGTCATAATGTGACATTATTTTGCCTTAATATTTGGAGTACACCAAACCCTGAATATCAGTTACGAAACGCTAGGAATACCCGTCTTATCCAAGACAGTGTCTACTACCATTCAAATGTGTCTTACGGGTCCCAAATGTGACTGATTTCGATAGAGTAAGCTCACATATAGGAACATTATATGCCCCTTACCAAACTGTCCTCCGACCCCGCCGACTCCGTTGACTTTTTCTACAGGGTGCGATAGGCGCAGCAGCGAGACGATGAAGCGTGAGCAACGTTGTTTCGCGGGGCGGTGAAACATTATTTAGGTTGGGGGGGGTGTTCATTCTAACTGTTGGTAAAACCGTTTCACAACTATGCGAGAAATGTCAGCAAAGCATTTATAATCGACATTTAAAATATTATTAATAAATTAATTGCCTACATTTAGGGTGGCAACTGGGGTGGCAAGGCATTTTTCTGAGGTGGCAGCTGCCACCCCGTAGAACCGCCACTGGCTACGACGCAGCGTCATTCAAACCCCTCTTCTCGCTTCAGAGCACATCTCGAATGATCAGTAGCCGGGCTAGCTTAACGGTCCACAGACTGAACCCAAAGCTAACATTCGGTCGACGGGCGCTAGCCGGTTACGTTTTTGCTTTGCAAGAAGACTGAACAATATTAACACACCAGTTAATATTGTAATCTGCCTCGCCGTTTCTTTCTTTCGAAATTACGGTAAGGTTTGATTTTTTCTTCAAGCAAGTAACATACCTGTTGCTAGTTTTTCTTCCCTCCACACCGACACCAAGGTAGCGAGGACGTTCTCTTTTCTCTCTCACACCAGAGGAGACGGAGATAAAAACAAAAGGTATTAACACACCAGTTAATATTCTTTAAAGAATAAAATCTACGCCGTCACTTTTTCCTATCGGATTAACGACAAGGTTGGATTTATTTTTATTTTTCTCAGTAACGTACCTGTTACTAGCGTGTCCACTCCACGCCGACACCCCGGCGAACAAAGATGGACCCTTCTCTCCCGCTAGTAACAGGTACGTTACTGAGAAAAATAAAAATAAATCCAACCTTGNTTGGGGCAATTGCTTCCCCTCATAGCGAGATCTGGAGGTCTCCTTGGCCACTTCAGGCCATGGGATGTCCAGCCTGGACGCAGCGCGTTGATACACGGCCTGCAATTCCATACTTAGGCAGGGCGAAGCTGGTGTGCTTTCGCCCGGGAGAGCGGACAACGCTCCCGGCTTTGCAGCCTGAGCCGATGAAACGAAGATGTCATCCTCGTGCTCATCCGAGTCGGACAGGAGGAACTCAGAGGCATCCTCTTCTTCCTCCATATAGTCCAACTCCAGGACATCCTCCGCGGGTGGAACCATGGTGAGGTCCAGTTGGGAGCCCCAGCTTGACACAGCGCAGGGCTCCGCTCTCACGGCTCTTGCCGCCACCGGACCCCAGCCTGACACGGCGCGGGGTTCAGTCTCTGCGGCATCTTGATTGCCGGCCGGCGAATCAGTGGACATGAGGGGGTCCTGTCCCGACAAGCTAGCTTGGCGTGCTAGCCGTCGGCGGAGGCTCTTGATGGTGAAGCGGGCACAATGCCCGCACGAGCCGGGGTTATCGATAGCCTCCTGGGCGTGTTCCAGTCCGAGTCAGGACGAGCAGACCTGGTGTGAGTCTGTGCCTGAGATCTTAAAACCGCAGCCGCATAGCCGAGCCTCCGAGTCCCTGACTCCTCTGATGTGAGGGAGAGAAGGGTCCATCTTCATTCGCCAGGGTGTCGGCGGGGAGTGGACACGCTAGTAACAGGTACGTTACTGAGAAAAAAATCCAACCTTGTCGTTAATCCGAAAGGAAAAGCGACGGTGCAGATTTTATTCTTTAAAGAATATTAACTGGTGTGTTAATACCTTTTTTATCTCCGTCTCCTCTGGTGTTAGAGAGAAAAGAGAAAGTCCTCGCTACCGTGGTGTCGGTGTGGAGGGAAGAAAAGCTAGCAACAGGTATGTTACTTGCTTGNGATCCTCTTTCATACTTTCAAAGCCATTCATAACCTCGCCCCCCCATACCTGTCTGACCTTGTCCATGTCAACATTCCCACCCGGTCTCTTAGGTCTGCCTCCTCCATCACTCTCAAAGTTTTCCCAGCCCGTCTCTCCACCATGGGGTCAAGAGCCTTCAGCCGCTCTGCCCCTCACCTCTGGAACTCCCTCCCCCCTGATATTAGAAACATGGACACTATCACCACTTTCCAAACTCACCTCAAAACCCAACCTGTTCAGGCAAGCGTATGGCTAACCTGTGCTGCAAGCTGTATGTTTTTAGTAGTTATGTTTTTAAACTGTGTTTTGCTTTTAACTATGTTTGTAAAAAAACTGTTTTTAACCTTGTTGTACGGCGACCTTGAGTGCCTTGAAAGGCGCCTTATAAAATAAATGCATTATTATTATTATTATTATTATTAGCTTTAGGAGCTTCCTTCTGAGCTACACCTGCAGAACGTATTCACCACTTTGCTCTCTTTCTGCATCCAACACCTTCTCCTTTGTGTTAACTCACTTCACAATCACAGCATGAATGAATCCTGTCTTTAGTTTGTCTCTGCACACGTTCACATCATGGACATCGTAGGTTTTGGTGTAATACCATCTTTTGATTTGCTTTAAAAAGGCCACATGAGAACCAAAGTGAAACATGTTTTGTGTATTTGTGACCCATGACAATGACATTTAAAATGAGCAGTAGAAGTTATTTTGATTTACTGTATGTCAGCACTAAATTGCTCTGTTTTTTATAAGCAGCTGACCTTGTGTAACTTCCATGCTAATCAAGTATAACCTCAGTCCCTCCATTAGATCAGTGTCCTCTGATTGTAAAAAATCACACATTTCAGAAAACAATTGTGTGACTTTAACGGTTCTCATTTGTCTTACATGGCACCAAATAGCTTTAACGTGTGACTTTGATTGATGAACATTATTCCACAACGTGCCTTTTTGGACTATTGTAATGTTTTTCATTTTCTTTGCTATGAAACATGTTTACCTTCTCATCTGCACACCGTTCATTTCCAGATTTCAATGCCTTCAAACCTCACTGCTGCACTGTGGGAACAAAGACCACTAAAACGTTCTGTAAGTCATTAAGACGTTTCTCTTTCTGTCTCTTGGTAGGACTTTGGGGACGATGGATCACTGTACTTCACCAAGGCGACCACTACCCACATCGGGAACTATACCTGTCACGCTGATGGCTACGAGCAACTCTTTCAGATCCACATGCTTCAAGTGAATGGTAAGATGCTGCTACAAATATAAAATACACCTTTTTTTGTTTATAACAAACTCCACTGCAGTAGGTGCATGACCCTTCGTTACAAGTCTACCTCATCCTTTTCCCTTTTCCTGTCTGCTGTTACAAATCAGCGCTTTCAATCATTTTTGCTACTCCTGCTTTCCTGTGGGTAAAAACTCAGAAACAATGTGCATTTGCAAAGATGGCATCTGTTATCCGTTTACAAAGATTGAGACCTTAAAGGTCCCATTTCATGGCCATTTCCACTGATCATAATTCCATTGTTGAGGTCTACTAGAATAGATTTATATTGTGCAATTTTCCAAAATCACTTTGGTTTCTCATACAGCATCTCTGTAAACTACGTGTATTCACTGAATTTCACTCTCTGCCTTTAACGGCTCGTTGCAGCTCCAATAGCTCCAGCCCCCACCCTCCCTGGAGGAGCTAGAAAGGATCTGTCTAGTGTAAAACTCTCGCGAGAGTTTGCAAGTCAGGTGGCTGAATGTTTACGTTTGGCAGGCACCTTTCAGTTACGATCGTTAACATCAGTGAGCCACAGCAAATGATGGTGAGAAGCTAAACTATCTATTAATTATTTCAATTACAGGGAGTGTGATTGTTGAAATAGGGTGTTAGCGGTCTTGCTGTTCAAAGAAGAATGACAACACTGTAGATCACCAACACCTATGCTTTATTTTGTATTACACAGGCATCCAACGTTGGTCGCAGAAAAGTCCCCAGAAGAGCTCCTGGGGCAATAAATGTCCTTTCAGTGTTTACTATATCCTGCGGGGATAATTGTATTTGCATCAATGTTAATACGAAGTTACAACGAGAACGGACGCAATGACACAGAGACGGATACTTCCAGCCCAGTAACCTCCCTCACCTGTGAGCACAGTGTGCCTGATTGGTCGGGATTGGATCGCGGCAAAGCCATGGGGTGTGGTTTCCTTGTGTAGCGAATACACAGCCAAACTCATCCCTGACACACACAAAGTCAACAGCCGAAGTAAAAAACATAATGTGGGCTTATGTGAGGTAAGAAAAAAGTTGATAAACGCTGTGAGGAATGGTCCTGCAGAGAGAATTTCCGCCGCAATCCCAACGTCTGTTATCAGCCTGCAGCCAGGGAGAGAAATCAGCAGAGCTGCTGCACTGAGTGTGTGGGGTGAGGAAGTTGCGTGAACTGGAGTTTTCAAATTTGGACCACATCAAGCGGAGGCTTAACAACGGCTCCGCGGACCGTAACGGTAACGGCCCGCGGATATGTCCATGCGTCCGGTGGTGACCATCTGCGACCCGGAAGAAGCAAATGGAAATGACGAGCTCGCACGAGGCGTTTTGGGGAGGATTACTGTTTAGAGTTTTACTCGCGTACAGGTGACTTTTAGGGTTTCGTGAACTCCTCAGACCAAGGTACCACTCATAGAAAACTCCATAACAACAAAGGGGCACGGTAAATAAACCCAGAAAAAGCATATGGAACTTAAAGTAATCCAAGAGAAATGGAAGTAACATCAGATTACATGATGTGATCTGAAACTGCAAACATGTTTAATTAAATGATTAAATGTCAACCATATTACCCATAAGCGTATTGTTTTAGAAAAGAAAATATTACGTTAAATTTAATTAAAGGAAATGTTCAGTTTGCAGTGTACAATTTTTCTTAGCAGGTAAGGTAGTTCATTGTAACAGGATGACAGTGTTAAAGGTACGCGCTCCCAACCTGGAAGAGGAGATGGTTCACATAAGGGGAGAGTGGGTGTTTAGAGGAGAGGGGAGGGAGGAGGAGAAGGAGGAGGGGGAGAATAGCAGCACTGGTGGGGAGCGGTGTTAAGAGGAACATCCATCACGTTAAGTGAGTGCCAGTGGACGGAGCAGAGTAAAAGTCGTCTCTGCTCCCTCGCTCAGCGGGCCCGGGCAGCGCGGATCATGAGGCAGACCCCGTCTGTGCTCCTCACTGCTGCTGGAGGAGTGCCACGCAAACAGGGCGGGTTCCGCACAACAAGAAGCATCACACAGGGACTCAGAATGCAGAAATCCTTTATGTGACAGGAGGGGACATTTACATTGTTACATGAAGGGACAGGCAGTAAAGACAGGATCATCAGAATGCTTTCATTGTCCGAGGAAATTACGGTAGCTATAACAGCAAGAGTGCAGATTCGATAAAAAGAGTAGCACTACATATTATACGTAAAAAAGTAGGCACATGTTAGTTAGGTAAAAAACACAATAAGTCAAACAATAAAAAAATAAATAAAGACCATGATCAACCAATAAGAGTAGCGGTACGTTACAGATGAAAAATACATTAAGAAAAATTAGAGCAGAATGCACAGGATATTAATTGCACATATATTGCACAATAATGAATAAAAGTCTAGACTTATACATTTTGTAAATAAAGAACAACAAATCAAATAAGCAGCAACATCGCAAGGAGGGCAGCATTAAAAGTAAGCACGTTTGGGGAGTAACAGATTACGTAATCAGGGACACAGACAAAAATGTATTGCCCTTTAAAGTTATTCTAAAAAAATTTTGATTCTGTTACTTTTCAAAACATTGGATTCACTAACAGGATCAAAATGTCACAAAGAAGTAAAAACGAGCATCTAGCCGTTGTTGTAAAGGAATTAGATGCATTTGCAGTTCATTTGTTCTGTTTTTTAAATTCAGGAAGGTTCACTATTACATGAAGCAATAGTGTGTGAGCGTAACGTGTGTGTTTAAACCGCAAGACGGAGCATATCTGTCAGACTCAGATTTGATTTCGCTTTTTTAAACCCTGAGTGTTGGCCAATGTGTTCAAGCGTTGGGTAGAGGCGCTGCCTGAATATAGCTGAAGAAAAAATAAGTCTCCCAGGGCAGAGAAACTTTCATACTATCTCATTGATATTATTTCTCTGTATTATGGCATGCATACATCCAAAATTAACAGATTAACTTCATGTTTGTACACACAGATGAGGGTTACTACCCACAGAGCCGTGGAGGCTTTATACAAAGGTCTCCAACACCATTGCGTCTCAAAGAGGCCTTTTTTCTATTTATACCACCCTGTTAGTGATTGTGTGTACTGGCTTTTATTAATTCTACTCGTGTTGACATGTTTTATGTTGTGTCCATGCAAAGTCTTGGTAGGCACTATCGGGATCTGAAGCTCAGATAGGAAGTGCGTATAATGTATATTATTATTATTAAT